TTCTTCAATGACAAGAGCATCGTCGATCCACTCCACGTGCTGCAGCATTATAGTGTCAATTGAATCGAAGCGGCTTATTAGATTCCACATCAATACGAAGTAGCTCCATCCAAATAAAACTGTAGCCCACGATTGGCCTCGCTTTGTCGGCGTTATTGACATCAATTTCCATGCAAGTAGCTTGTACCCACTGGCTTTCAACTGGCGCTTGCCTTCATTTATCTTCATTAAGCCTCTTTTCTTCAGGTAGTTAATTTCTTTCTCGTAGCCGTCGAGGACACGCCTCAGATCGGTGTCCAAGGGCTGATCCAACTCCAACAACTTATTGTGATACACATCCACTAACGCGCTTCGGTATCCCCAGACGCAAGACGCAGAGAGGGGTACCCTGGGGGCATCCCGAGCATCCATTTCCTCATGGTCGCAGGAGAATCCAGCCTCACAAATGTGACCGAAGAACGCAAGAACAGCTTCTTTTGGAAGGGGAACTCGCAACTCCATTATGTCGGTGTTGATTGGGCCTGGATAATGCTGGGAAAGCCACGTCTTCATAATGTTGACTTTGGACTGGTAGGTTCTCTTAGTGCTGCTGTTCGTTCGCTTGGCTTGTAGCGACTGTGCAATCTCGACACCGTTGCCTCGTTCATTCTGCCTTCTTTCGCGGCTGTGTAGCATGATTTCTTTACTTCTGGTTATTCTAAACTAGTGCTGAAAGGGCGCGGTTGAGCAGTGATAAAGCGCTATCACAGTTGTCGAGAATCTGCTGATTATCTATCTCCAATACATACTAAACCCAAGTATTTTCACAGTAGATTCAAACCTCATTTCAGTCAAGTATGATACGTAATTATCACCATGCTGTGTCAGGAGATCACAACAGTATCACAGTTGCAGCAGATGTAGAAATTTTCTCCTTAAAAGGCATTCTACACGCTAAAGCAAGCTTGATGTGGTCTCGGAGAGTCCTACAGCAGACGAAGGTTATAATCGAAATATACGTTTCAATCCACATATGAGATCATCCAATACAAAATGATACTAATGTGCCATTTAGAGTTATCGAGATAATCGCGTTCAAAGTTGGGCCATCATTTTTCGTACCTACACGAAGTTTTGAGAAAACGGTCAAAAACAGTTCTGAAACCCAAATGGTCACTAAAGCGAGCCCACTCATTTGCCAAACGGCTTTCAAGAAGATATCAGTGTCCACAATGCTTCGCCAACTACCGCCGCCGCCGTCGCCCCCACTATCGCCCTCCCAAGATTTTGCAGCCACTCTGATATCCGTTTGTGACTCTAGTGCCGTGACGCCCAGCGAGTGTGCGGAGGACTCGCAAGTTTTCAGAGTCCAGCTCGCTCAAGGCACCAACATTGACGAGGCTGCTTCCAGTCAAGAGAATACAGCGCCTGCGCCCAGTCAAGAGCAAGCAGCACCTGTCTCAAGCCAAGACGACGTTCGTGGAGACGAGAGCGAAGAGGACGAAGATGAACCTCTCGAGGACAGTGATGAAGAGGACAGGAGCCCCGACGACGATCCTGATGACGTAGAAGTCGTCACTGGGGAAAGCGCTGGAAGTGAAGTTGAGGAGGACATAAGTATCAATTTGATTGAGAACGATGTTCGTCAGTGCGTGACGGACCTGATTAATGGAGACGAGTGCGAGATGGGTTGTCTGAAGGGAAAGTCACGCGAGCTGGAATGGCTCACGTGCTCGCTTGGCCAGATGACCAAGACGGAGAAGACGACGTGCATCTTAACACTGGTAGGCGTCTTGATGCAGACGGCAACTAGACGTCGTGGCAAGGGTGAACGCGAGAAGTTTCACTATTACTTGCCGTTCGTCGGCCAAGTTTGTCGATCCGCCTTCGCTCACTGCCTTGGTGTAAAGCCACTTACAATTCAGCGCTATAAGCTTCGCGTTCGAGAGGAAAATATTGCAGCCAAAGAACATGGCAACAAACCCTGCAAGAATACCTCCTCCATAGATGCAGTTTGGTTGGTCAAGTGGTTTAAAGAGTTCGCTGCCGAGGTAGGTGAGGTGGTACCAGCGCGGGTTCGCACACAGAAAACTAAAGACGGCGTGGTGA